GTATACACACAGAATGCTAGACTCAGCAAAACTGTGCTTCTGTTAGATGCACAATTCATCAGAATGACACTCGGTGGTAATTATGTTTTACAGCTGCAGTCACAGTGGCCAGTATCGCACGTTCCACAGCATCTCTATTCTTGCAGTGCTGAAAAAACAACAATAGCGTTTGTAACTTGCTCTGCATACACGTCTTGCAAATATCAAAGTTTTTATTGTAACCTAAAATTAAAATCATTTTATTTGCTTATTAAAATACTTAAGTCTTATCTTTTAAAATCTCCAAGCTTGCATCACATGATGCAATAGAAAGCTTACGAAGAAAACATTGGTTGTACAACTGGGGTTTGGTCAGAACAGGATGAAGATAGGATTGCTGGAGATAATCATGGAGGTCCTGACAAAGTTGTCAAGGATGGTCTGACATTAGACAGCATTCTAGCAAAGGAATGTTCTGACATCCTCTGCAGCAGTGTTCCCCAACCTTGGGCCTCCAGATGTTCTTGGACTACAATTCCCAGAAGCCTTCACCACCACCTCTGCTGACCAGGATTTCTGGGAGTTGAAGTCCAAGAACATCTGGAGGCCCAAGGTTGGGGACCACTGCAGAGTATGGAGCAAAGCAGCAGTTTCAGAGTGTGTAGGTACTGAAGTCAGACAGATAAGGTGAGCCTTAGCCATTGGAAGCTAACAGCGTTTTTATGAGCTAAACAGCAGGTGGGAGAAGTAGTGGAATTTGGGTCACCTGTTAGGATGCAAAGCTTGTAAGCTTTACTCATGCTCAACTTTGAAATGAGCACATATAATGAAACTGCTAATTATCCCCCGGCAGCCAGGGCTTCCCAGAATAATTGTTTTTCACTACTGGAGCATTTACCACAGACATTCACAATACAAAGGTCTGTATAACAAAGATCGAAACTAAAGAGTTGTGTCATCTCAACAGCTAACATTTATTCTAACTTGAGCTTTCATGGAAAGCCCATTACCAATGCAATTGGCACACTCTTCCATTTCGTTTGGTGGCCATTTGTCTACCATATCCGTATGTAAACCCATAGCCTTCCTATTATGCCGGGTATGAATATCTGGGTAGCCAGGTGTTAATATCTGCTCACATGTATTTCATCTCATGTATAATATTTCCTCCTTCCTATCCACATGCTGGAAGAGATTACAGTTTAGTACATTGTAGTATCCACCAGAGGTCACCAAAGTATTGTTAAATATTTCATTTTTTGTTGTTGTTTTAAATAGTATCTTTCCATCACAGAAAATTGGATAACCCAGATCTGGCTGTCAGTGCAATTGCTTACTATTTTAGAAGAACCACATCTATTGTTCAGCAATTATAGTTCCTGGGTGTTCAGGCTGAAGTAGAGCTGAAATCAAAAGCCTTTTTGCAAAGAGAAGGGGAGGACTGACTGTATGTTTGTCTTCTCAAGTGATGTGATTGCTGAAGAAGAGGTATAACAACTCTGGACGAGAATGTTTTTTATATATATCCAGTTCACAAAAACCAGCTTTGTGTGGGTGGGTGGGTGGATGCATGCATATGCACATGCACACACAAATCCCACTACAAATATTGCCGAAACAGGCATTCCAATGCATCTTCTAACAATGTTTTGAAATCAGAATTTGGGGGGGGGGGTAATTCTTCCAGCATTATATACAGCATGGTGTGTGTGGGTGTGTGGGTGTGTGTCCTGGGTCTCCATATATGTGTACTAGCCCTTGTCAAATAATTTCTTCCTTGACCTATCAGAGTAAGATATTAAAGTTAGTGTGCATGTGTATGTTTGAGAAACAGGCCCTTTGTTGAACAAAGAAGCCTCTACTTTCTGAGAAGGGATGACCGGGACCATTTTTTACAAAAAAAGAAATGCCAGCAGATAGATATAATTGCTGCTGCTTCCCCAAGAAAGCTGTTTTTTTTTTAAAACTATGATGTCTCAATTCCAGAGAGCCTAAAAAGGAGGAAAAGGAAAAGGAAAAAACAAACCCACAACAAACCCCAAAGTGGGGGGGCACAAAAACAAATTACCTGCCTCTTCTGCAGCAGGTGCAAGGAATGCTTCATCCTGGTTTTTGAGGGGGATCCTCTCTGCTTGAAGGTTTTGCCCTTTTCCTGTGTACTGGAAAGTCCTTCTGCCACCTGGTTCATTTTTAAAATCCCTTGTCTTGTCTTCTCCCTACTTTCAACCTCCCCCAACCTGTTCCCTCCCCAGCTTGAAGTGGTGGCAATAGTTTGTGGCAGAAGTAGCAGGACATCAAGCACCAGCGGCAGCAACGGTGCCACCATGTTGGGGCACAACAGCTTGTTTATGCAAATGTGACAGGGTTGTTGCAGGTTACTTGGCTATTATAAAAAAGGGGGGTGTCATGTCACAAAAGGTTGGGAACCACTGCTACGGAGTGACTTATGATGGAGTTACAGGATCTAAAAATTCTTAAACTTCAAGGGGACAAGGTCTGGAATGGAAGTCTTGTTCTTTTGAGGCCGGAGAATTCTACTCAAGCTTTTACTTTGCTTCTGTAAGTGTGAGAAACAAGCAGGGGTCTTCAACTGCAGCATCTTGTCACGTCTTCCTGGAAGAGCAGTTGACTTGAACAGTGCAATTTGGGGTGTTGGGCTGGCCCTTGTGCTAACAAGGTAGGATCCCAGGACCTAGATGGGGGGGAAGAGTGGCTTGTTGGGCTTTCCAACATAGTCTTATCTTACTTCTCAATCTTTCTGTTCTGTTGAACAGAAATGTACAGTATGTGACAGATAAGTCTTCCTGCAGAGTATGTTCATGGGAAAGTATATGAAGTTCTTAATCAAATCTTAGTTCTTAATCAAGACAGCACACAGCCTGTAAAGTTCCTTTCCAAATCTGAATCACCCCAAATCTTCCATTATATATGTGCATGGAACAAGCAGGAGAAGGTCACAAAGTTTGTAACAATGCATTCATTATGGTTTCTACCAGTCTACATTTATTGAATGACTTATCTTGAACTCTGCAATAAGGCTGAGTTGGATACTGACTGTTAAAGTCCAAACTTATTGAGATCTTGCCCTAGCACTGTGTCATGAGGCAACTGCACTGGGGCTGTACATTCATTATGGTAGAATGTGAAAGCACCTTCAAACTGAACACTAACCACTGAGGCTCCATTTGAGATTCCACTGACTTGAGGTTATATGGCATGTTTTGTCACATTTGGTTAAAAAATTGGTCTTCTGCAGTAAAACTTCTTAATCTCCACCAAACATTTCTAGATACATGCCCCGTTCTAGGAGATAATGTGTTCAATGTTAATTTTAAATGCACTATATTCTTAATCTGAACTGAGAGGTTTGCATGTATGCATTGCTTCTCCTATACTAATTTGCTGTAGATCTTTAGAGTACTTTTACTAGTCTTTCCTCATAATTCGAGAGATCTTTCAGAGTAGCTCATCAGAGATCTTTGGTAAATTTATAATTGGAACTAAATACAACTCAAGACTTCAATGTATAATCACTTGGACAGGAATGTTTTTGCTAACCTGAAATTATCTCATTGACTCCAAATGTATTGTTTGAAAGCAAAGCCCATTTAATTTAAACAGTAACTTCTAAAACAGGTAGACAGCCACTGAATGTATAACTCTCTGTGTGGAGGGTATCACACCAACCGGGCCTGGATGATTAGTTTTTTGAAAGCAAAGCCCATTTAATTTAAACAATAACTTCAAAAACAGGTAGACAGTCATATCTTGTTTAGCCCAAATTACATGTATGCCAGTGTGCTGCTATGGTTAGCGTTGCACTGGTATCTTGAATTCAGCCATTGTATGTATAACTCTCTCTGTGGGGGGTATCACACCAATCAGTGGCTAATATGGCTACCATATTAAAATACTGAATAGTTTTCAATATTAGCACCCACCATCAACTGTCTGGTTTTTAAAATATCTATGTTTGCCCAGAATGTAAGTGAAATCATTGCAATAATTATCCAGCAATTCTTTTGTTTAAAGTGCTGCATTCATAGGACTCTCCTGCAACTTGATATATTCAGTCTCTTCTGCAACAGTAAACAATACAGTGGTGCCCCACAACATGATGTTAATTTGTTCTGTGAAAATCAGTTTTGCGAAAACATCATCTTGCGAAAAGCGTTTCCCCATTTGAATGCATTGAAATCCGTTTAATGCGTTCCAATGGGGACAAATCGTTGTTGTTTTGCAAAATTCGCCCATACAGAACCCGTTTTGCGAAGCCGCCCTGTGAAAATCGCTGTTTTGCAAAAACATCATCTTGCGAAAAGTGTTTCCCCATTAGAATGCATTGAAATCCGTTTAATGTGTTCCAATGGGGACAAATCGTCGTTTTACGAAAATCACCCATACAGAACCTGTTCTGTGAAGCCGCCAATCAGCTGTTTAAATCGCTGTCTTGCGAAAATCGGTCCCAAAAGCACCCGTTTTGCGAAGCCACTGATCAGCTGTTAAAATCGTCATCTTGCGAAAATCAATAAAAAAAAAAGTCTTGTGAAGCACGGACCAAACCATCGTTCAGCGAAAAATCGCCCATAGGAAGCACTGTTATGCAAATCGCAATAGCGACTGCAAAAACTCATCATGCGGATTTGTCATTTTGCGAGGTAATAATCTAGCGGGGCACCACTGTATTCACCCAGGGATGCGGACAACCTATACCCCCATTCTTGACAGGCAGTGTTCTCTAGTGGTTATAGTGTTGCACCAGGACAAGAAACTGGCTTCAAAACTGCACTCGGTCATAAGGCTCTTTTGGTGTCATGGACTGCTTATCATTTTTCCCCTTTCATCTACATCACAGGACTATAGTGAGAGATGGTAGGGAAAGCCTGTTGTGCTCAAAGGAAGATAGGAGCAAAAATTCCATAGAGGTTTTTATTACATCCCTTACAAGCGAGATGTAATAAACAACCTTTTCTAAAGAAAACACAGAGTCTTGCAGCAATGAAAAAACTGATACATTTATTATTGCATACAAAAGCAGAAGCCACTTTGGAAAGAGCCCCCACATTTGCATTAGAAATTATATGGACTGCTGCTCCTTGCCCTTTCAGCTAAAGCTCCAGGAGCATGTACAGGCATCAAGCTCAGAACTGGTAGGCCCCAGCTAAAGGTACAGAGCCGCTTCATTGGATCATGACCATAATTTCAAAACACTTATTTTTGTTAACTAGGACAACCGACAAAGCACATTTAATCCCATCCTATGCTATTGAACACACATATCTTTTATGAATTGAGATACAGCTGGGGAGGGCAGGTGTGTCTAGGTCATGTCTACATCTCTGTTCAGTAAACAGAGACTCACATTTTCTGCTGACTAAATAACTTCAGTACTTCCAGCCTTAATGAAGAACTCTGAAGCAACAATAATCAACAGACCTCTGGTATGCTGCATTTGTCAAAGACTGTGCGAGTAATATTGGGTGGTTTGTTTTCCAGTAATCTATAAATAATTGAAACAGGAATTGCAGAAATGCACGTCTGCATTGCCATTACAGATCCGACACTTGAGAACACTTTCTGCTGCAGTTTTCAAAGACAGTAACAGTTTCAGGCACCACCAGTCTTTTGTAAACAAACCATTTCTGGTTGTATAATACCTATAAGCCTACACTTGTCCGCTCACAAGCAAAGACTATTGAATGCAATGATGCTAACTCTCCTAAATTGCTACAAGACTATCGCTTTACAAAATTAGTCAGTCTGATCCAGCTTGGGAAATCTGTGCAACTCAGCAAGTTTCCATTCAAAGTAACACATGTTGAGTCAAGATCCAAGGGTGTATATTGGGTGTGCACTAGAATATACATATAACCCTGAATATCATTTGTGCACTACACATGGCTTTCGATGGAATAGAGATTCGAATTTGCTGCTACCACCGACATCTTGCCTTAACCAGTCAGGCATAAATATATTCTAAAGTGCAACAATAAAAGGTTCAGGGGTTGTGCTTGACTGGCTATTTCAGTTTGAGTCAGTGGGATTATCACAATTTCATTCAGTGAGGATTCAATTACCCTTTTCCTGAAATATATGTTCAAATTAAATCTACAGTTTGATATCGAGCAGACTAAACTGCAGTCTGTGAAAGAGTGAAATTCCATTAATACTTAATGGTTTTCCTGACTCTCACATAAAGTTTTATTATGGAGGAGTTGCAACCATCATTTTAAATATATATATGTATTTTGCCTTAAAATACTGTTTTAACAAGTAGAAGTGCATACAAAAATCACATGGAACTCTAATCACTGATTTGCTTAATAAAATAAAACCTTGTATGCAAAGAGAAAAAAAAGACCCAGATGCTTTCCCTGTGTTGTAGATACAGTATGTACAAGATGTTGTACATAGATATGTACAAGAAGTTAGGTATGTACAAGATGTTGGGCAGCAACTAAAAGCATTAGCAAGCAGAAATGCTGGAAATGAAGCAACTTGTGATATAAATACGAAAATCACACAGGAAGCTTATCTGAACAGTGTTTTAGCTGCCCTCACACATGTAAACAGTATGATCTGATAGTTGCTCTCATGTCGGAGACACTGTCCTATTTCCTACAACTTTATAAGGTGCTCCCTGCCCACAGGAAATTTTGGATGCTGCATTTATTGTTCCTGTGCAACTACACCCTTGCTTAAGCCCTGCAAATATCAGGATAGGCTTCGACATGGCTCATATCAATAAACCAGACCACCTATCTAGGGCGATCAATTGCCAATGTCTTGTGATGCCACTGACAGGGCAAATCATCAACTAAGGCACTCAAGGTGGTGAGATTTAAGGCCAAACTCTTAAACATTATTAATGACCTGATTGTACTGACAGCTTTGGAATTTATAGATTTTTTTTTTACAAAAATGTATCAATCTCTGCTCCAGAGCACTGAAAATTCAGTAAACAACTTGATCCTTCTTCCATATAGTATTACTCATCAAGGTTGCTATTTCTAATTAATAAAGTCATTTGCATCTTATTTTCCCCCCTGAACACAGCACTCACATACATGCAAGACAAGTAATTCCCACATTCACTCAAGACAAAGGCCCCGAATCAATGGCATGAGTGTTATCAGGAGATTGCAGATATTTCTAGTTAAATCTGATTACCAACGGGCAACCATTAATATAAGCGCCTGCAATATCCAACTTTTTCCTCTAATGTGGTAAATACAAGCTGGCACTTGGGATCCATTGTTTGCCATTTTATGAGGACTTTATCACATTAAACATGTTTGGAAAGGATCAAAAGTAAAGATAATGCAAGCTAAAGGAAAGTGCCTTATGCTGATCAATATATTCCTGCATTAGGGAAGACTGGTTAAATACTGGGGAAGCATTCTTAGCAAACGGCACCATTTAAAAAAAAACACTGATAGTTTAATTACCATTCTATTGTTTAATGTGAGTTTTCTTCTGAATGAAGGAGCAACAGTCCCAATTCATGTGCTTATCTTACTTTCTGATTTTCTTATTTCCAGACATAACAAAATAGTGATCATCTGGTTTTGTTTTCAACATAGGATCCTTTAATCCTCCAGGTGCTTTCCTAGTGATAGTTGCAGCAAGGACTTTATCATTCTTCTGGGATGCTTTAACCAATGATTGACTTTCGGTGGCTGCTTGTGTCTTCTTTTTTCTGGTTTCGGCTACAGCTGATGTTTGAGGAAGACGTACAACAGACAATGGAGTACGCTCAGGATGCTTTGACATACTGGAACCAGCCAGAGGTTTCGGCCTGTTACTTTGGACCTGCGTATTCTTGGCTGAAGAGTGATTGCTGACAGGTGAAGACACATTTTTACTTCTTGATCCCAATGCAGATGTCAATTGTGTTGATTTACCTGCTGTAAGTGAAGATGGAGAACCCTGCTGTTTGGCAGTACTAGTAGTTTTGACATTCTTTGCCTCTCTAGATTTTAGTGTATCTCTAAGTGACCAACACTGTGTTGGTAACGTCTGAGTAGTACTTTTTGGAACTGGTTTTGCTGATGTTGCTGAAGGCTGCTGAGAGCAACCTGCTTTAGGACCATGCTGATTTTTGTTAGCTGGCTCTGAACATTTTTTGGAAGTTTTTGAAAGAGCTTTAGATTTGACTGTGGCATTGAGCCTTGTCCTACCATTAGAAGAATCTTCTGCAGCTGTTCTTTTGGTTGTCCCAGGTAGCCGAGAAAGCGTACTTGTTGAACAAGCAACAGTCTGACGTGACACGACTGGAGAATTCTGTACCTGGTCACGTTTGGCTGACAACAAGGTACGTTTCGGACGAGATTCCGAAGAAGTTAGAGCAGTTCTCAGTAAGGCGGATGAAGAACGTTTGTGTACAGGTTGGGCGGGTTTTAAAACAGATGTGAGTTTATGAGAGGATGTTGCTGGGTTTTTTGAAGCAACTGTTGGGGGTTTGGAAGACAACTGACTATTACTTGCTGAGACACCTTTAGACTTGGCTTGGCCTAACACAGATTGGCTTCTTGAAGTTGTATGGACCTTTGTTTTGGAAGAAGGTGCAGGTGATTGTGGAAGCTTATTGACTGGCTGCTTTCTATTAACTGGCCGAGTAGTCTTTGGAGCTGAAGCAGGAGTCAGGGTCTTTGGATTTTGTTTCTGGTAGGTTTCAACAGCAGATATGGGGTTCATGTGAGGAGGCTGAGGAGTTTTAGCAGATGAATCAGGAGTAGTCTCACTAGATGCACCTTTCTGAAAGGCCAAGATTTTTTGTTCTAACGTTGCAAACTGCAGCACTCGGCACGGATCGTACTTGAGGAGAAAGCCTTGAAGAGTGTCCCATCCTCCACCAACACGTACCATCACATGCTTGCCATGCAACATCTAGCAGAGGAAAAATTGGTAAGAGTATCAGGTTTGAATTTGTTGCATTTTGCTACAGGATATGTTAGGATTTTTAAAATTAGCTTTAACATTTAGCTTTCTTCTTGGCTAGATCTTTTTGTAGTTATGGGTTACCAGATTCTTCCCCAAATAACAGAAGTATACCACACAGTGCATATCCAGTATGGGGTAGTAGATAGAATGATGGACTAGGAGTTAGGAAGCTTGGATTCTATTCCTGCTCAGCTGTGGACACTCACTGAGGGCATGGAAGTGGTAAAACCACGCTTTAAACACCTAATCTAGCATGAAGTCCTATTAGCATCAATATACAGTGGTGCCTCGCATTACGATGTTAATTCGTTCCAGCGAAATCGCTGTAGAACGAAAACATCACAAAACATTTTTAAAAGCCCATAGGAATGCATTAAAACCCGATTAATGCGTTCCTATAGGCTTGAAACTCACTGTCCAGTGAAGATCCTCCATAGTACGGCCATTTTCGCTGCCCGTGCAATGAGGAATCCGTCCCAGAAAACAGCGGGTGGCCTTTTTTTTTACTCGGCAGCCATTTTGAAACTGCCAATCAGCTGTGCAAAAATCTTCATTTTGCGATAATCGGTTAGCAAAGCAGGTAACCGATCATCGCAAAGCGAAAAAAACCCATAAGAAACATTGTTTTGCGATCGCTTTTGCGATCGCAAAAACTTCTTCGTTATGCGATTTCTTCGTTAAACGAAGCACTCGTCTTGTGAGGCACCACTGTATGTTGGTTTTGACTCAATGGCCTATAATAAGAACAAGCATACTGTACTCATAAACACCCCCAAGATACAAATAAGTGCAGGTCAAAAGAAGAAAAGGAGTAGAAGCTACCAACTACAACAACAGAAAGCAAAGAAAATTATTATTCAACCATTTCCTGTCTTCATGAGTAAGGGAGATCCTTCCTCGCTGTTGATATGCTGACAAGATGGAAATCACCAATATGACATATGTCTTATAGAAAGGTCGTAAACACCTGAAGAAATGGTATTATGTCAAAGAACAACTCTAAAAAACAGAACTATATAGAGAAATTCTACTTACTCGTATAAAAAGTATTTTGTCTCCCAGTCTATAGCGTCCTTCAGATAGATACTCAATTGAAAATCTATGGGAGCAGCTGCAAGGAGGATCTTCAGCAATGTGCTTAACCTATATTGTATAAAAATTACATGCAAATATTTTCATGCTAATTTTTAGAGATACAGCTAAATGTGAACTTCCTATTTTGCTACAAAAATTGTATCACAGAAAGCCAAAATAATGCCTTTTGGATATGATGATTTTCTTTTGTGTCATAATTCCCAGGCGGATAATGAGCTCACAATATCACAGACGAAATAAAGAATATTTTAATACTTTCTGACAAGTTATATTTGTAACAGCATGCATTTCCTCCTACCTGTATTCTGAATGAATTCCCTTGCCTTGGGTAAGCAAGTCATGGGATGGTGATATAAGACTGCAATCCTATGTTCCATTTGGAAACTTGAATATCAGTAAAATTGGGAGATTTACTCAGAGAAAACCCCTCTGAGTTCAAATGTGGTTTGAAGTTTTTAAAATCCAAACTGTGTGAAGAACTGCAATCTTGCTCAAGTTTCAAGATAATATACAAAGCAACTGGGATGTTTCTAATATTTTTCTTTCAAACATACCAACCTAACCCAAAAGTTGAAGAAGCAAGAACTTGATAAGAACCCTTGCAGAGCAGCTATAATCAAAGCAAAAGCAAAAACAAAAGCGCTGTGGCATCTCTAAGACAAAAACATTTATTTCAAGGGGGACCTTCGTGGATTACAATCCATTTCTTCAATTACAAGCAATTTCAGGGAAAACCCTGAAAATGGTTGCTGTCTAATTTGTAATCAGCTTGACAACACTAATTATTATTATTGCTTTAATAGTCTGACAGTAAAAGCTGAACAAAATATAAATAAATGACACTGTTGCTTTTAAGGCTGGAATTTCATGGACAGAACAGAAAATACATCAAGGGCAATGATTCCCCACTGTGCCTCCTTGACAGGGACTGGACTTTATGATCTATAGAGTCCTTTCCAGCTCTGAAATTCTTAGATGATGATGATAATGATGAATGTTCCATATGTTGACTCTTAAAGGACTGTTTTCATAATTGTTATGTATTAACATTTGTCTTACATGCTTCGCTAATAAACTTAAGGTGGATTGGCTTACACTGATGCAGGTTAAGCTTAGAAAAAAATGATTACCTGAACGTCATCCACTGAACTCCATGATCTAGTACTGACTTAAGAGTGTAACTACGCAGAGGGGGGGAAAGTGAATAGATCCATTGTGAAATCAGGTTTCTCTGGCTTAATTCACTTCAGCCAACCACGCACTGAGTCAGCAGAGAGAGGGGAACTTGTTAATCATTTTAATCCTCTCCTCCCCACACCTGGTGCCTGGGTCTCCTCCCTCTGTCATAGCACTAGGATAGTTAGAAGACCAAAAAGAGAGAAAGAAAAGCAAGGAATCAGGTGAGAGACAGGATAAAGGTTTCCCTTCAGCCTTGTTTCCAGCATGTTAGGGCAGCTCTCTGCTCTGGCCATCCAGATTTGCAGGAGGCATGGTTGGAGTCAAGCTACCTTAATAAAGGTTTCCCTTCAGCCTTGTTTCCAGATTTGCAGGAGGCATAGTTGGAGTGAAGCTACCTTAAAACTTCCTCCTCACTCTTTTTATTTGGTCAGCCAGCTGCACTATATTAGCGAAAGGAAGGCAGGCAGGCTTCAGCCTTGTTTCCAGCATGTTAGGGCAGCTCTCTGCTCTGGCCATCCAGATTTGCAGGAGGCATGGTTGGAGTCAAGCTACCTTAAAAACTTCCTCCTCACTCTTTTTATTTGGTCAGCCAGCTGCACTATATTAGCGAAAGGAAGGCAGGCAGGCAGGCAATGGAATGGGAGCATAAAAGCAGACCCAGGCAACAAGTGTGGGGACAAGAGGATTCAAATAGCTTCCGGTTTCCTTACTGTCCCTTACTACTGCTTTAGCCAGCTGGGACAGCTTGAAAAAAATGGCTACAAACCCCTCCACATCAGCTCATTTGATCACACTATCTGAACCAATGTGAATACATTTGATTCCAAACGAGAAGCCCCAATGGCAGAGGGGGGGGGAGGAACCAGATTAGGGAAAAATGTTTCAAGAGGATTCAAATAGCTTCCGGTTTCCTTACTGTCCCTTACTACTGCTTTAGCCAGCTGGGACAGCTTGAAAAAAATGGCTACAAACCCCTCCACATCAGCTCATTTGATCACACTATCTGAACCAATGTGAATACATTTGATTCCAAACAAGAAGAAGCCCCAATGGCAGGGGTGGGGGAAGGAACCAGATTAGGGGAAAATGTTCGGTTAATTTGTATTGACTATTACATAATGTAGTCAATGAGAAATAATGTGAACCAGACAATCAACCCTGGAGCATTTCTCACATTATCTGTCAATGTAGTCAAATCCTTAGTAACAAAGGAAACTGTCTTATGTTAATTTGCCCATCTACCCAGTACTATCAGCTTTGAGTGTCGGCAGCTCTCTTGCAGGATTATTTTCTAGCCTTACACGTAGATTTCTGATATTCCCTGGTGGTTTCCCAATCAAATACTACTTAGGAATACAAGTACTTCATCGTTCTTAGCTTCCAAATTCAGATGAGATCAGATGTGATCCTGCATCTCTAGAGTCCCACCCCTATCCTAACTACTGCACACACTGACTCTCTGCACTTAGGAGAGTCATGACTTAAAAGGGTTTCTTGTCTTGCTCTTGGGAAAGGTCATGGGCAAACTGGAGAATAATCTGGTTCTGACAGTCATTCTAGGCTTCATCTTCTTGTTGAAGATAGAGGTTGGACATCATTACAGCTATTATGGTTTAAACGTAGCAGCTCTAGAAATGACATTTGTATTGTAAAACTATTGTCTAGTTTCTTCAAGTCATTAAATTATTATTTTTCCTGCCCTTCTTTTCCATTTATTTTTCCTTGAATAATTACCTCTAAGTTGAGAGGGTAACCAATGAAGAAAGTCAATAAAGTTCATGAAATTGTGAAATATATAAAATGCAGAAAGCTAGACACATAACCACAATCATGTTTTTTGTTTGTCATCCTCTCCATCAAAGTAATTCTTGGAATGCTGCAATAAATCCATGTCTCAAATGCTTCCTGTGTTAAAGCCCATGATTCCACACCATGAAGCAATACCAAGAGCACATATAATGCCAATTTTAAATTTTTGTCATATATTACATTTTTTTTTAATTTTAAAGAAGCTGCCCCATACCAACTCAGTTCTGATTTTGATTGCATAGCTATGATCCCACTGTTCATTCAAATTTCAAGGTACTTATTTTTGCCAAGTCGTCTATATTTTCATTTTTAGATCTTCAATTGCTTTCGTTGACCTGCTTGCTTATTACTGATTGCCGCATGGTTTATGAAGCCACGAACAAGCATCAGAGGGGCTCCTCCTTTGCCCTCTCCTCCCCAAGACTAAGCCTTCCCAGGGCAAAATGTACATAATACCTACTGCTTCATGCAACTCTCCATGTTGACAACAGGATTTGGGTGGGATGACAGGAGCCACAGGATCAGAGGACATCAATAAGGTTTCTTCCAATTCAATTTCCTTTTCCAGTTTCACTAACACGGGAGGCTCAACTCCATAGCTAAAAGAAAAGAGCACGTAGACTCTGCATTTGCATTGAATTAAATCTTTTTATTTCAAAGAAGTGAAAGTATGAACATGGGCTGCTATGTCTAAACATAAACATGGAATACGGTACATGGTACTTGAACGTAAGTTGTCTTCCTAGAAATTGTTTGTGAAAGAGTTCAAAAATGTACAGAAATGGGGGAACTAAAGGACAATTCTATAACCTGTACCACCAATCTTTGGGAACAACTCTTTGGCAGGGAGCAGATTTTTGCACTTATACAATAGTGATTTAAAGCACAACAGAAGCATTGGAAGAACAGTGATAGTGGCAGGGCTTTTTTTAAAACCAATGCAGTTTGGAGATACAGAGAAAAGAAAGTTCCACTATATGTTATGGCTTTGGGGATGCCTTCCTAGAACTGTACTAAAGGACTGTACTCCAAAATTCTGAAGAAAACTTTAGGGAATCTTTTAGATACAGTAGTACCTCCGTTTACGAATGCCTCGGTTAACGTTCTTTTTGGTTTATGAAGGAAAATCCATTGAAAATAATGCCTCAGTTTACGGTTTTTTCCCCACTGTATGAAAGAAGTTTCCCCAGGATGCATTGTATCTGGAGGTTTATAGGGCCACTCACAGTCCTATGGCAATCTGCATTACAGTTTACAAATTTTTTTGCATTATGTAGCATCCCGGAGAACATATACTACTGCATATGTTTATGAAAATAATGCCTCAGTTTACGGTTTTTTCCCCACTGTATGAAAGAAGTTTCCCCAGGATGCATTGTGTCTGGAGATTTATAGCACCACCCACAGTCCTATGGCAATCCGCATTACAGTTTACAATTTTTTTTTGCATTATGTAGCATCCCGGAGAACATATACTACTGCATATGTTTACTATGCACATAAAAATTCCTGGTTAGGAAAACTGTGACAGATACATACCTTGATACAATGCGACCAATTTCCAGGAGGCAAAGGTACACCTGTCTTGGATCCTTGTGCAGAACTATTTAAAAAAAATTACAATGTGCAAGGGGGAAGGGGTATCAGTGTTAAGTAGCAATCACATCTAAAAATAAAATTCCTGGTTAGGAAAACTGTGACAGATACATACCTTGATACAATACGACCAATTTCCAGGAGGCAAAGGTACACTTGTCTTGGATCCTTGTGCAGAACTATTTTAAAAAAATTACAATGTGCAAGGGGTATTAGTGTTAAGTAGCAATCGCACCATTTCTTTTGGATCAGTGGAACCTGTCCACAGTAAATGGCTTGAGGATGGCATCCCAAAACACTGTGACAGATACATACCTTGATACAATACGACCAATTTCCAGGAGGCAAAGGTACACTTGTCTTGGATCCTTGTGCAGAACTATTTTAAAAAAATTACAATGTGCAAGGGGTATTAGTGTTAAGTAGCAATCGCACCATTTCTTTTGGATCAGTGGAACCTGTCCACAGTAAATGGCTTGAGGATGGCATCCCAAAACTAAAATGCGAAGTCCTCTATAACTCCAAATTACACATAGCTATGCAACTCTGCCCTAGCAAGTTCGGTTTCTCTTGCTATGCAGTCCCGTTTGTAACAGAGAGGAAAAAGAAAACAGTAGCTACCATCTATGTGGACTCTGCCAGTGTTCACATCAGGTCAATTGGTTAGAGCAAAATTAGTGTAATCTATCAGTTCACTATGCTTTCACTTCACTCCTATACTTATCACAGGTATAGGAGAAACATGTGACCATCCAGATGTTGTTGGACTCCCATTAGACCAGACCTGGGCAAAGTGTGGCCCGAGGGCCACATACAGCCTGCAAGCCGCTCCTGTCTGGCCCGCCGGTTGTCGCTCCAGTCCAGTGTTCAAGCCCAAGACAGACTGGATTTCTCTCACTGAACAAGTTGAACATCAAAACCATTTACAGTGGTGCCTCGCTTAGCGATTGCCCCACTTTACGACAAATCCGCTTTACGATTATGTTTTTGTGATCACAATTGCGATCGCAAAACGATGGTCTAAATGGGGAAAATGGCCTCTTCCTTGCTATACAGGCACTGAAAATGGCCTCCCTATGATCTTCGCTCGACGGTGAGTTTTCAGCCCATTGGAACGCATTGAGGGGTTTTCAATGCATTTCAATGGGCTTTTTCATTTCGCTTTATGATGTTTTTGCTTAACAGCGTTTTTCCCGGAATGGATTATCGTCAATGTTTTTGCTTAACAGCGTTTTTCCCGGAACGGATTATCGTCGAGGCACCACTGTATAGCTTTTTGTTTAAAGTTGATCAGTTACTTATATTTTATTTTTACATAGTTGGTTTTTGTCTAAAGTTGATCAGTTGCTTATATTTTATTTTTACGTATTTGGTTCGGCCCCCGAACACAATTCAGATTTTTCATGTGGCCCCCCTATAGAAATTAATTGCCCACCCCTGCATTAGACCTAAGCAACATGTCCAATGGTTTAGGGGTGAAGGAAGTTATAATTTAATACAATCTGAGCTTCCTCGTTCCTACCTTAGGAAAAGACCTTCACCTAAACCATACTCGCCTCCTATACTTTGTCCTCTGTTATTTCTAATGCCAGAGCACCTTGGCTGCACAAAGGCCTATAGATGGCACTCACATAGGCACGCAAGGGTAGGCTTTAACAGCTGTTTTATCATGGAACTGATGAATATCCAACACACTCTTTGAATGAACTTCAGCCAAGGTCACCCTCATAGTCTAGCCTCCCTTAAAGGGTTGTTGTGAGGACAAAAGGGGGAGAGGAGATCTCCATATCCCACCTTGAGTTTACTGGAGAAAAGGCAGGATATACTATATATCTGTAGCTGCATAAAATGGGACTCCCTGCTTTCAACTTTAAATACATAGGCTATATCAGAATGTCACATAAGAGAAGCAGCAAGTGCATGGACATGACAGCAAGGCTTGCTTCCTTCCACTTTATCTGGGCCAATGTTTTGCATGAAATCACGTACAGCACATTTGTTATCACACAGAGGTTTCGAACTATAATGTTCAAGTATTCACTGGACAATGCCTCAAAGTTCCATTGTTCTAAGGCAAAAGAAGAGTGTAGAAAGCAAGAGTTATGTGCCCACACACGAGAATCCACTGTCTGAGCATAAAAGCCTTCTTTATTCTTCCCTCATACAAAAATGCTGGGAAAAGGGCAGTGCAGGGTAAGAAGAATTTAGCCCCTTTGATCAAGTTCTCTGCCAAGAACATACAAAGCAACCATTTATTCCAATAATTCTAAATAGTCAGCAGCTTTCCAAATATGTTGAGCTCTATCTAAGAAAAAGTTACAGTATTCTACAAGCTTGCAGCCCGAATCTGAGGGACTGATTCCAGTTATAAGTTCTGAATATTCCATTTATAGAAAAAATAAAATAAAAACCAGAACTGAACAGAAACAGAGTTTCAAGGCACACAGGTGATTATTGGTCCAGTTGTCTGAAGTGCAAAATTTACTGTTTATATTATGCATTGAACAACCCAATATTCCTAGGTGTGTTTTTAAACTTACACAGCAAATAGACAAAGATTCATGTTTCAACATGCACAAAGATTATACTACAACTTCAAAATTATTTCTTGCACCTGGCTGGAACTCACACTGATGTATTTCTAGTTTAAAAACAGACAGACTGTACTGAAACTATAATTAACAAAACAATTTTCAGCTACTTGCCTTAATGAAGCAGTCAAAGATTTTGCTCCATCTGGAAAAAAAAACTGGTCTGGCAGCAGCCAGTTTTAGGGTACAGGCTGAACAGCAGAGACAGACAGTCCAGCCCTCTAGGGGCAAATCCAGATATTTAAGTTGACAATGCATGTGTGAGGCTAAAATAAGTAGGTCTGCGTATGTTTGACTATTTATGTTTTAACAGCTGTCTAGCCAAAAAAGAAACGTGCTGGAGGACAGAGTCCAATATCTAAATTTCTATGCAAGGTAATAAATTATTGAAAGCTTATCATCCTGTTGATACCAAACAGTGCTTACCGTGGTTGTCTCATTTTGTAATCATGCACATCATGTATACTTCAAAGACATTTTACAGAAGATTCATAGAGGCATTAGTTGTCATTGGCCAAGAGAGATGAAAGGAAGTGTTTGCCTAGTACAGTAGTGCCTCGCTTTAAGATTACGACAAATCTGCTTTATGACTATCATTTTGCAATCGCAATTGCGATCGCAAAACGATGGTCTAAATGGGGGAATTTCGCTTTGCGATGAGCAGCTCCCTACTTCAGGAACTGATTCTTCGCAAAACGATGATTTTTCAACTGCTGATTGGCGGTTTCAAAATGGCCACCAGGTAAATAAAATGGCTCTCCGCTGTGTTTAGGGACAGATTCCTCGCTACACAGGCAGTGAAAATGGCCACCGTCTGGAGGATTTTCGCTGAATGGTGAGTTTTAAGCCCACTGGAATGCATTGAAAAGTTTTCAATGCGTTTCAATGGGCTTTTTATTTTCGCTTTTTGAAGTTTTCACTTAACAGCAATTTTCCTGGAACGGATTATCCTCGTTAAGCGAGGCATCACTGTATTAATAATGCTCAGAGACATTTAGATAAACTTTGGCTACTCAGTCCAAATGAACTGATTCATCTTTATGTCCCGGTCACATTGCCAAGTCTGAAACGTTTTCAGTCACCCAGCCATGGCACTTGTGTTGTACCAGCTATATTCTCTGTTGGTGCTACTCAGTTTTATATGGCATCCCTAGCAGGACCTTAGTACAATCTTGCCCTTCTCAATTTCATCATTTTAATGTTGGGAGTAGTCAAAAAACCACCTTGATCAGTGGCTTATGTCTCTGGCTGTGGAGGAGTTCAATTCCCCACTGTGCCTCCTTGAGAGGGACTGGATTCAATGATCCATGGAGTTTCTTCCAGCTCTGCAGTTCAAAGGTTCTTCTTCTTTTCTACTGTCTTCTCTCTTTTCTAGAGAATACAGCGGAATCCCCACATTTCATGCATGCATTCTTTGCTGGCACTTTCTATGTTGGTGCATAGGTGGCATGGAGAGGTTTGACTGCTCAAGGCCACTTCAGAACCATCAGATATAAAAAAGCAAGAGGCAAGGCAAATCAAAAAAATTAAACATGCAAGCCAGGATTCACTTGGGAAGAAAGCTTCTTTACCATTTCCAAATAAAATGATCCTTTAAAAAAGTATGCCCATATTTCCAGAAGAAAACAAAACAAAAATCTTAGAATTGTTGAGTATCACTAGCCATAACTGAGTCAATGACATTATAGGATAGTAGTTAAAATGATGACACCACCATAGTACATCTAACAAGAAGTTTCAGTACAGTGACTTATTATTTGCTGGTCTAAAATCAGCATTTCAGAGCTTGTTGGAATGTGAAAAGCGTGCCCTGCCAAACACTAGACTAGAGTATGAATAAGATACAAAGATTCCCCAAAGAAACTAGGAGCTACAGGAACTAATGCTGCACGAGAGGGAAGAAAATACCAACACTGGTGGAAAAAAAGTTCCCTATTCTATAGAAGAACACAATACAACATAGATAATAAACCTATCTTGCTGTTTTAAGACTATTAAGATTTGTTGCCTCTGTAACTGGTTGAGATATTCCAGATATTCTTGCACTCTGACAAATTTTTCAACAGTGCTAACAGGAATTCCACACACCTCCACCCCCACTGTATCTCAACAGATTAGGACTCAGGAGAGCTGGGTTCAAATTTCCACTTGGCCATGGAAACTCAGTGCAGGATGGTACTGTTAAAACTACTCCTTAAACGTCTCACATGCCTTGGAAATCCTACTAGGGTCACCATAAGTGAGCTGTGACTTCATAGCACATGACACGTATTACTTTTGAATTGTTTCTTTTACTTTCTGTGTATTTCTATATTGTCACACTTTTATTTAATTTTATCTACCACAAGAATATTGTGTACTATCTGTTTAACCATGCATTTTGCAAAATAATTATAGCAATAAGTTCTCACAAACACTTCCCCTCTTTTAGATACAGAAATCAGTAAGAAACTGTGGGAAGAATCAGTGGACATGTAACATCAGGGGACTGTGATACAAAGAGTCTGAAAAATAATTACCTAAGCCTTCAGATTCGAAGAGGTAAGTTTCATCCACTCCAATACATCTACACCAGTTCAGAAAATTGGCTGTGTTGTCTCTAGCAAAGAAAGATCCTGAAGCAGCATCTTTCTTACAAGGGACTTTTCTCAAAGGGAAATCCTAGAAAGAGGAAAATGATGGAGTAAAATTTATCTGCAACGGTTTGAAAACAAAACATTTTTCTATCATAACAAAATGTTCACGGTTTACATTCCATAACATTGTGGCTGAAATTCTGTTGGCATAAAACTTTGCTGTGCAAGCCGGGTGATGTCATCATCTGGCGACAGAAGTCTTTAATTAAACGAATTAATTTAAGCTTTCCTATCCTCCTCATCAGTTTCTGAGGCTTCCTAAGGATCTCTTTTGCCCCTGAGGGAGTCTTTAATATCAGAAAATTATTATCAGATAGCAGCCAGCAGTCCACTCCAGTAGCAATTTGTGGTTGAATGGAAAACACATTTTCCATGGAAAAGAGAAAATTATGGTAACAATTAATCCCTGTTGTATACATTTCAGTAATGATGGAAATGGTTTTGACTAGAATTATTAAGGACTCAGTTGAGACAGAGATAAATAGACCGTGCACAAAATTTGTGAAGGCTGAACTTCCGCTGTTAGAAACACTGTCTTCAAAACGGGAAGATAAGACAGGACTGACTGACTAGCTTACTTGCTCTGTCAAAAACATAATATGAAAGACAGCTCTGAAATCTCTCTCTGGCAAATATAGAATACAACATTAAGAATATCACAAGGAGAGTCAGAATATACCCTTAAGCCTTATACAGAACAGTGCTCCAGAAATCTAAAAGTAGTACAAGTTTCTCAGCAGACTCAACATATGATTTGCTGGTGCTTCTAATGAATGTCAAGTCATGTACAACTTTAGAACATTATGATCAGCAGATTTTTCATGCCTCCTTCAAAATTAGTTTTTTACTTTCATAAGAACATGATCACTTGTTTTCACCATTCTTCGTATTTCACATGATTGTGAACTAGTACATATACTACCAAATACAACTTACTCCCTGGGCTTCAGCCTAAATTTCTAACTGTAAATGACATCAACTGAGTAGCCCAAATTTCCTACAATCTGGACACACAGCTGTAAGCCCCTGTGGCTACCTTCAGAATTATTCCTTTTATTCTTCTATTCCTTTTCAAACCTGTGAAAAACCACCTGCTTCTCTCCATCGGAAAAAACTCTTCTCTATCACAAATGTGTATCAGCCACAGCACCTCTGCCTTCTGGAGTCCCTTTCGGTTTGTATATATATTTTTTGCATGAAAGCCATGCATTTTCTTTCCACAACACGCCACCTCAGACCTCACCTGTCTAACTAGACTTCTCACATTTGCTACTCTCACCTGCCCAGGACTAAATGGAATGCACCTTAGGGCAGTAGGAAACACAGTGTGTCCCAGAATTCCAAACAATCTTGATGCATAGCTACTTGTAAAAACCTAAATGAAAATCCAACAGATTTTTTTTACTTCAGGGAATTTATGGGATAAGGGCACTTATTATAGTGTTTTCATGTTGTCTGGGCTGCCAGTTGTGCAACGGATTGTATAACCAAAGAAAGACCCAACATGTGGCAGACAGCTCACGTCAGATATGTGACTGCCCTTAAGCCAAGAAGATTCTAGCCTACCTATTTTTTCCCAAAGTCAGTTCTAGTGAGAAACCAAGGCATGTGCTAGAGAAACCATGTAACACAAGGCAAAAGCATCATTCTAACTACTCTAAGTCAAATCCAGATGGATTCTGAGAGCATGACTGGAAAATAAGATACCACTGGAACTACAAGTTGCTTGTTCTGCCCGCCCTATTTCACAGGATTGTTTTTGTTATGAGGCTACAGCAAGAAAAGAAGAGGCGCATATACATGGCTTTGAGCTCACTGTAGGGAAAGTGGACGCAAGTTTAACTAAGCAAGCAAGTAATAAAAATTAAAACCCATGTGGATTGTGTTGTACTCATATATGGGATGATGCCCAAAACATTTATTAATGGCAGAACTCTTAGGCAGGTAATGGAGAGCTACAGTTAAGAAGAACAAATACAATGACTTGCTAAATCCATCCATAACTAAGCAGTGGTAGGATGATGTTCTGGGACCCAAAGCATTATTTAATTACAAATGGTTTTACCATGCCATTAGATGAATTCTTCTTAAAAGTAACCTCTCAGGCTCTGCCGTAAAGCTCTTCCCTAGATTTCTACAGAAGGAACAGAATAGGAGCATGTGTACACCTGGTTACATCTGACTGCTGAAAATGCACAGTGCTTTGTGGTATTGCTATAGCTGCATTTAATAGGCTAAACAGTCTTTAAGGTACCACAATGTCTTTTACAGCATTACTCTTGTTTTATGATTCTTGTTGAAATCCTTGCACAGACTAACAAACAGTCTTTAAGGTACCACAATGTCTTTTATTACTCTTGTTTTGTGATTCTTGTTGAAATCCTTGCACAGTCTGACATGGCAGCAACTTCAAAAACTATGAAGTTTAAATCCTGTTTACTCTGTGGAATCCCAAAGATATGAAGGTGTTCGACATTTCACTTTTGTATTAAAAAGTTATGAAGAACACACTACTTGCCCTTAAGTCATTTGGGTTACAATTCTTTTTAACTGCACTTTGAACTACTCCAATCAACTTGCATAACAGTACGCCATTGTCAAGCTCTCCCAGTAGTCGTTCTGCTGTAAGTTCTACCCCTATAAAACAGACACACATTCTTCATTAGTAGAGAGAAAGCAAAACTCAAACTCAAAGCAAAATTCAGACATGCATAGACATATCCACAGTGCAAATTCACAAGGAAATAACTTCTACAACTCTTGAGTTTTTGGTGTGTGTTTCCTGCTCTACCTGATCTTTCAAACTCTCTCTCCACTTCAAATATATGTTGAAAATAATGTCAGGAAACAAAAAGGTGGGCATGGAATTCCATATAAAACAACAAAAGGCGCCATGGCAAGGCTGTGGATGAATCTTGAGAAGGCCAGAATTGAGCAACAAAATTTCATCACATCTGACACATCAGGGGTGTCACAAATGACATTCACACTCTTCAATCTATTGCACATTAATGCAATTCAAATTGGTCTTAAAATGCATGCTGTTTTAGGCTACAGGTTGCACAACAGTTGTTAGAAATCAACACTGGGACCTACTAGTCTCACTTGCGCATTTAAAGATTATGGAGAGGCACTGCTATATGGTCTTTGTAACTTTCATTTATCTTATAGAGAAAGGGGACAATTCTGGAAAACAAGCTAAAAAGGAGCAGGAATCTACAATTCCTTTTATAGGTTAGCATGAACTCTACTCATTATGCTAATACTTAGCAGTTTACAGTAACTACAGGGATGGCTCATAGCTTTTCCAAAGAGATAAATATTCATGGCAACATTACCCAACAAACCAGATAGCCAGATGGCTAGGTCCTCCTGCATAGGGATCAAAGTTGCCTCATGTCGGACAGATATCCACTGGTCATAGAGCAGAACATCTGCTAAGCCTGGCCCATGCCTTGGAGTCAGTGGACTACGCGGATTTAAAGGGGGATCATCTCCAAACCACACCTAATAAAAACATCAGCAATGAAACAAGAATACATGGCTACACTTTAATATAATCAGCAGATTGCAAATTATAACTGAACACAATAGCTACTCTCAGCATATTTATGAAATGTGAAGCATGACTCTGTAACAGTGGCCCATTAAATCAACAAAAGTATCTATCATTTTCATAACGTATTACTATATTTCTGAGATAAGGAAAACATCCAAGATAATGTTGGTTTTTCATTTTGCCTACCTGAACTGCATTCTGCATGGTGTCTGTACTTTCCTGAAAAAGGAAACAGGAGACACTTTAAGACCAGCGCAATATTTAATTGGAGTCAACTCCAGTATTTACAAACTTAGAGTAACTAATAAACTGACATGTGAAAACACAATGTAGTTAACTTGGACTGTATAGCTAACAAGCTATAGTTCACAGGCTAGTAGGGTGGATTTAATTTTAAAATTATTTTTTTAATTTAAATCATGAATTAAATTGTGATTTATATCAATTTGATTTTTCTAAAATAATTGATTTTTATCTACTGTGCAGGCTACGTATATTCCCCCAAACATGTTTGTGAAGCCTATCAGCTGAAGGTAAGCTTTGAAATAGGACAACAAAAACTTGAAAACCTGGGGACAAAGGGAAGAAAATTAAAAGCCACAGAAATGCAGGAACCTTCCTTGCACCACAATACTCAATAAATACTATTTCTAAGTCCATTAAAAAAAACCAATACTGTATTTTCCAAAGCTCACTCGATTTTGTTTGCATCTGTGAGTAAAAATGAGAATGCAGTATCTTCAGCCCTGGGCCATTTTGCCTAAATGCCTACCCATTATATTTTATTAAGCTGAATACTGTACATATGGAATAGACTAATTCGGATGACCTTTCACAGTCTAAGAGGCTTGATTTGGCTATAGAGAACCATACCTTTGTTACATCCCGCTTATGATGACTCTAACACACTTGTATGACTCTAACACGTTATTTAGGGTTTTCTTTGAAGAGTTTCAAAGTCCAACAGCCAAACTGTTGAACAGGGCCAGAATATAAATGCAAAAGCTCCACTAGCTACTAGTTTGTTTCCATACCAATTCTACACACTTGGTATGATCTATAAAACCCCTTTCTGAAGAACTCCACTCACCCCTCCATAAGCCTCCTCTGGCATTAACATCTTTAAGAATAGCTAGCCTCCTGATTCTACTAACCCAAAAGGCAGATATGGTGCGGACTCTGCAGGTCTTTCCATTGTGTGGTCTCAGAAGGGAAACTTCCTTCCATGGAAGAACAGATTCACTTTTCCCCACGGTCTGTCTGCAAGCCCTCAAAGACCTCCCTCTTCAAGCCAATTTTGGTAACCGAATAGACGGGGGAGGGAAGGGGAAATTGTAAACTGGAATACTTTTTTTAAATTTGAGTTCCTCGGGAGTTTTCTGTTTAGTTTTAAGTTAATAGTTTTTTAACATTAACATATTATAATTTATATTACTCTCTTCCCCCCCTCCTCCAGTTTGAAACCGACCTGCCTTGGGTACCTTAATTGAGAGAGAGGCATGATTTAAATGAAAAGAAATAATCAGCCAACTCATACTTTCATAAAGAGAACACTGACAAAATTTGTTGCTGGAAGTACAGCTGCAGATTAACAGTATAGAAATAGCATCATCATCATCTACTTTACCCAATACTTTTGCTCTGACAATTTTCCAATTGAGTTGCAATGTTTACAATATAAAAATGCTTTAATTTTACATCTACCTTTTTACCAAGCTACAGAATCACTTGACTTTTAAATAAGTCCTTCCCTAAACCAACATTGCTCAAATTGCTGATATAGGGCTGTATGACTGATTTATTTGAGTTTAGCAATAGCCAATTTGAGGGTACTTACAGATACTGAACTTACCATACAGTATCTATTAACAAATGTTCCATTACTTCTCTGCTGGGTATTAGTAACATACCGTTTTCTTGATATTATTCCTCTTCTCCATATTACACAAAAAGGACATAGCATATGAGCAGGCCATAATAAACAGCATCTTATGATTCCCACCAGTTGTTACAGGGAATACATTTCCATCAGTATAATAAGCCCTTTGTGTCAATAACAAGCCAAAGTAAGAGGTTCCATTGACTTTTACAGAGAACCAAAATATGGCTGAAACAGCTAGCAAAGAAGCTGCTCTCATTAAAATAAGAAACCCCACACAACTAAACAAGGGCTTTAAAATGCCAGCTGCCACAGAAAGGACAAAGGATAGCCTAATTGGGATGGAATGCTCAAAATCCAAACAAAGTGAAAGATTCAAAAAAGAAACTATTAGAATAATCAGCATCTTCAATTTTTCCAAACATGCCTCAAAAAACAGTGCATGTGGAAAAACACTGTTCAAATGTCAATTGTTTTACACTTCAGTTGCATTGCAAAATAATACTACAAGTGCTGCAGAAGTTTGTTAAAACACAACCATGAATTTGGTGACAAAATGGCAACTAGATACACCAGTGAAAATCCTACTTTTAAGCATTGCAGCCTGTTTTAGGAACTAGTGACATTTGTACACTCCCCCCACCTGCTCTTTGTACCTCTTAGTTCTTTGCCACTAAGAAAACAGTCCTTACTTTGATTCCAGGTTGTGCAAGAGTCGTGTGCAATCAGACCTAACTGAGGCCATGAGGAATCAAAGTGCAGACTCTTTAATTAGTGGCAATCAGCTGCTACCAGTGATATCATGTCCCCTGCACAGGAAAAGTTACACAATATGATTTTGGCCTCTTTTTTTGATGAGAAGAACATTCAAAAAAAATCCTAAGGTAGGTATGCACAAGACTAGGTTGTGTGGTTGGTTTCAGCTAAGGAGTACTTTATGATGATCATTTCAACCCTCAAGTGTGTTCAAAAACCATTGAATGAAGCAGCCTGATTGTTAATAGTGGTCATGGCCACATACTGTTGTAACAGCTACGTAGGTTTCCTATTTGTTTCTTAGTATGATTCAAAGTTCTAACAATTACCTTTGAAGTCACTCATGGCTAGGAACAGAGTACTGGAAGGCCCATCTTCTCCCTGCTTACATATTGGGGAAATCTTCAGGGACCTTCCTATGTGTCCCAACAACCTCAAATACATGCTTGGCTAAAATTAGGGAGCAGGACTCTTTGTTGGGTGCACCCAGGCTCTGTTTGGAACTCCATTCCAAGAGAAACCCATATCCTTTCCTGAGTAATAGTCTTTCAGAAGCCAGTAAAGACTTTCCTTTTTATGAAGGTAATGGAATAGAATATTAAGCTGTTGTCTTAAATGATTTCTCTTCTAGTATTTTGGTTGCTGTTGCCCATGACTGCTTCTGTGTTCCAAATGCTTAGCATGTATTATGTATTTATTTGATAGCCCCTCTGAACTCCAAGATGAAAATGTGGGATATAAATAAATATTTAAAATTAAACAAATGATCTCATTGTAGTATAGATGAATTCATGCGGAAAGGTGTTAGCATTCTTTGTAATGGAACTTTTAGACCCATAAGCTTTCTGTCTGATTAGTTTTAAGGAAAATCCATTCTGCACATGTATGTGACTACTCCATGGCAAAATCCTATGCAGCCACCAGAAACAGTTCTGGTCATCTGAAATCACTCACTGAGTAACTTGATTGAGGTACAATGAAAATATTTTTAGTCCTTCATCTAGCACTGAAAACCTGTAACAAAGGAGATCTTAACGCTCTAACTGGCACTGGCCTGAAACTGCAGAGCTGAAACAAAGTAGACAGTGCAACTGGTAGGAAGGATCACTGCAATGCTAGACTCTTTCCCACACCCTACGGCCTAGAACACTCCAGCAAAAGGAAGACCACCCTGAACCCATCCAGAAAGGAAGCAGCTGCACAGCATATCCTTCTCCTCGACTTCTCCAAAGAATACTCAGCTCCAACAGCCAGCTGCCCTGACAGTAGAGTGTCAGGAGAGAAACAGGTATCCATCCAGTAGAGTAGACATACTCTAGTTACAATTTACTTTAGTGTAGTTAAGTCACAACTAAACTAGGCCCATTTGAATCAATGGAACTTATGGAGGAATTATCTCACCGATTCCCAGTGATTCAATAGGACTCTTCTAGTGTGACCTACTACATGGAGCAACAGGTTTTCAGCCAAACTAGTCTTAAATGACCAATGAGAATCTTGATTTGAAGACTGGGTAAGTAATGAAATTATGGAATGAATAGCTGAAATCCACAACAAGAAGAAACATGTTTCTTATATGATCCTAAGTTGCAATGTTTGTTTTTTTCTTGAATTGTGTTACACAATAATTTAGACAAGTTTTGGAAGCCACCCATGCCTAAAGCTCAGAAGAATTTCTATTATAGTTTACCACAGACAAAGCTGGAAATGTGCTTTGTACTGCTACTACACCTAATAACCAGTAAGCCACAATTTAAACCCTAAATATCAAACCCATCAACTTACCCCTTCAATGGTAGTATCCTGTTACAGCTCGCACTGCCCTACTCTTTATTCGAAATGCATTATTTCCTGCCATAACAGGTTTGGGAATCAGATAAAAACTGTAACTAAGGGACTTTCAAACTTTTTACATTACATAGATCTTCTCAGAGGCCATACTTTATTAAATGAGACTTATTCCTAAGCATGTGCATGCAAGATGACAGCTGTACTTGCAACATCAGGTTGTCTAAGAAAGAAAAACTGGAATATTGGTTATCTATAACTTTTGTGAAAGATGTCTGGCACCCAAGTGATCATGAACATGTTTACTCAGAAGTAAATCCCATGGGTCTCAGTGCAGCTCTTATTTATTTATTTTGAACTAATTATGTTTGCAGTTGTCTGGATAGCTCAATGAATTAGATATTGGACTGTGGAGCCTGAGAGTTCAATTCTCCACTGTGTCTCCAGGGGGAACAGCCAACCTGTGTGGCCTTGGGCAAGCTGCAGTTCCAGGATGCTCCCAGAAGAAGGGAATGGTAAACCGCTTGGGGCACTCTCTACTTAGAAAACCCTGAAAATGGTCACCATTAGTTAGAACTGACTTGATGGCACATTATTATTTATGTTTAGAGTTAAAATCTACATGGAACACCATGGTTTGTAAGCTCTTGCACTGGAAACTGAAGTAAACACTATTACACTGTGAAGTGCTGACAAGTTTATCTATTTTGCTTCTATTTTATTCAAACAGAATGCTTACAGCTTTACATCTGAAGGACCTTCCATTTAGTAGTGAATAAGTATTTATGTGT